GTGTGTGGGGTCAGAGGTCAGGAGGATCCTTCTTATCGGTCCTCCTGGAGGCGGGAAGAGTTCTGCTGGGAACTCCGTGCTGGGCCGCCGCCACTTCGAGGTGGACTGCGACTTCCACGGAGGCGGGAGAGGACACATGTGCGACGAAGCAGAGGGGGGCGGATCTTCGTGGTGGACTCGGTGGGACTCTCGGGTGAAGGTCTGACCCGGGAGCAGCTGCTCCGTGATGTCGAGAGCGCCGCCCGGCTCGCCGATCCGGGACCTCATGTGGTGGCGGTGGTGGTGAAAATCGGCCAGCTTTCAGCCGCAGACTCGCGGGTGCTCGCCCTCCTGACCGAGCTGTTGGAGGGCGTGGCATCCCGACACGCCGCTGTGCTGTTCACTCATGGAGACGCTCTGGGAGAACGCCGTCTGCAGGACGCGATCAGGTCGAGCCGCCGCGTGTCAGACCTGGTGTCCTGCTGCCGGGGGCGACACTGTGTGCTGGACAACACTCGCTCAGGAGAGCGGGCGCAGGTGGAGCGCTTTCTCCGCCTCGTAGACGACATCATCAGAGAGAACGATGGACGCCACTGGAGCCGGGACAAACTGAGGTCAGGTGACTCGGAGGACACTTCCTGTTCGAACAACAATGTCGAGCATGCGCTCGCCGCGAGGACTCCTCCCTCTCTGCTGAGCGTGTGCTGGCGTGTCCTGTGTCTGAGCGCGCTCTTTGTGAGGCGTCATTTCCACTGGATTTAACGGTGACAGATGAAATCTTTGGGTCGTGTCTGTCGGCTTTGATCAGGAACTCCTTCACGTGAACTCGTCTGTGCCGCCGGCGGTGATCGCTGGTCTCTGTTTCCAGTATTAATAATAAACATCACGTTTGACTCTTTATTATGTACTTATTAGTTTTTGGTTGGATTAAGTCTGATATTCATTAGATCAGTGCCTCTTTAGTCATTAATTAGATTATTTAATATTAACGGTTTAATTGAATCATTGTCTCTGCTGGTTTTTGTTCATGTTTCTAGCAAACTATGCCCGTTATGTTTATTGCCTCATGTGTTGCAGCTTAATTTTTTAGACAACATTCTGGCTGCAACAGCTGCCAGTAATTTACTGCAAATATGAACATTTGAATAAAAAGGCATGTTTTGTATTATGCAGCTCTTCTGTGCTTTGTCAATAAGAGACGGTAATCAAGCTTATTTGAATTGTATTTTAACAGGTTTAAATTATATTTGTTTTATTTCAATGTAATTATTCTGCAAAAACCAAAGTTCACTGTGAATTTTAATTCAATTCAATTTTATTTATATAGCACCAAATCACAACAAAAGTCGCCTCAAGGCGCTTCATATTGTACATTTCTCAACAAAGTAAACCGTTATATATTCTACATTATCACTATATTTCCACAGTGAAATTCTGGCAACCACAGCTGCCAGAATTTCACAGTAATATTCAACTTTTTACTATGATACCGTATTATTTTATACAGTATATTTAACGAAGTGTTAAAACTGTTGTTTTCACTTGAATTACCCATAAACAATTTTACAATTTATTTTTAAATTCATAGCCATTTACTGAAAAAAATAAGGTAATTATTTATTGTGAAATTTATGGTTTTGTGTTCTACATTTATAGTTTATTTTTCATGGTGAATTCTACAAAAAAAATTTTTCTTTTTTAGGCCAGCATGAAATTCTAGCTGTGATAACAGGATGTCGTGGTCGACTGTGTCAAAAGCTGCTGACAAGTCCAACAATGAAAGGGCAGCAGGGCTGCCAGAGTCCAGAGTTAAAAGAATATTATTAAAAATCCTTACAAGTGCCGTCTCAGTGCTATGTAGTGTTTTAAAGGCAGATTAACATTTTTCAGAGATGTTATAATCAAGGTGTGCCTGCAACTGTAAGTAGACTTTCTCCAAAACTTTCGACAGAACAGGAAGCTTTGAGATTGGCCTGTAGTTGGACAGAACAGTTGGGTCCAGGTTATGTTTTTTAAGAAGAGGCTGGTTTAGCTTGTTTAAAGCATGATGGGACGCAGCCTGTAGCAAGGGACGTGTTAATTAATATTAATTAATTAATGAATTAATAGAAAGCCCAACAGTATTAAAGTGTTTTTAAGCAAGCTTAGGGGGAGACAATCAGAGGGGCAGTGTGATGATCTTAGATTATGAACTACCACAGTCAAGTCATTAAGGGAGGCGGGATCAAACTGCTCTAAGACAGCTGAGCACACAGGAGAAAGACTCAGACTGAGGCAGCAGACAATGAGACGAGAGCCCTAATGGATAGAACCTTGTTGTTAAAAAAATCATCACAAATACTTGGTGAAGAAATGACTACAGCATTATCACGTGAACTAAGAAATGAGACATTAAAAAGCACCTGAGGCCTGTGACTGTTTACTGACACTGAGTTTGAGACAAACATGACGTGTGTCCATGCTTTTATTTAATGGTGGAAATTTTAAGAAACCATACTGAGTAAAATATAAAGGGCATGGAGACAGATGTACAACATACTCTCTATTTTTTTAATACAGAGCGCTATGATGTCCCAATAACACCGTAATATCATGGACTGTACGTATATATCCAAAAATGTCAAGTAGGTTAGCCAAAGATTTCAGCCAGCTCTGCTTCAATCATACGAGTAATAACAATAAAACATAAGGTTTCATTATTTGAATCTTCAAGGTCAAAGGTTGAGGTGATTGGTTCATGTTAGTCAGATGAAGTTCTTTTTTTAACACGATTGTGCACTCTAACCCTGAACCTAACCTAAGATTTAGATCCTAAAGTTAGTGGATCAAAGTCAAAATAATATAAAAACAGAAAGTGAAAGTTACAAAAATACAACCTTTTCCTCACCAATATAGAGCTAGCTACCCAGTGTTTAAAAGTGAAAACACTGGACAAATGAGATTTTCCATCAGGTCCCTGTCATGACTCCATCACACAGAGTCCAAAACAATGTCAAAAGTTTATTTTACAGTAAAATATAGTCTTTTAATACAAGTAGATATTAAAGAAGACTCCAGCACACAGTCACATGACTTATCACGTCAGATAATCAACACACCTCTGACCTGCATGAGGTCATATATGAAGAGACCAGTCAAAGGGCTGTTGATCAATCAATAACATTCCAAAAACTCAATTCTGTTCATCAGGACGTTTTCAGTGGGAGAAACATTTCGTCATCATCAGGTGACGTCTTCAGTCTCAGCTGACTGCAGGTTTCAATCTTATAACCAGGACATTTGCACAGTGACTGAAACCAGCCCACTGCAGGAACAATGGGCTGGGAGCTCAGTTCACTCTTCATTAATATGCAATTGTATGTATATTTAGGGCAGTGCAGTTCTGTACACCATGTTTCTGCTGCTACCACTCTTATTTTTATAATATTCTGTACAGTTTTTTCTCATAGGTGTATATACACATGAGGAAAAAAATGAAAAAAGAAGACATATACACACACATACCTACACACACATGTATTCTTATATTTCATCCCTTTAGATGTATTTACATGTATGTACACTCTGATGGTGAGTAAATGCACCAAAATTTCTAACTGTATGTTCTAAGTGACAATAAAATGCCTAATCTATTCTATACACCACATGATCCATTTCTTTTTAACAGTCTGCTGGATGAAGATACTATAACGTCACACTCACGGTGATGTGATGAAACTACATTTGCTTACAGATTTGATTCAGTAAAACACTTTTTGATTCTGTTGATTTTAAAGCTTTTTAAGAACCATGGTTCCAGCTACACTTTAGTTACATTTGGTTAACATGATGACTCTATGTGGAACAGACTGAACATGCAGATGATACTCTGATTTATGCTCCCATCCTGTATCCTGTCCATTACTGACTGAGATTTAAACTACAGGTTATTTGTGCTTCATACAGCTACATCAGCAGTTCCAGTTCCAGCCCATGAATCCTGAAGATCTCACAAGCTCTCCTGGTAAACATCACCATTGGCTGCACAAGGAAAGTCATGACCCAAGAAGCTGATGGAAGCTTCTGGAACAGCACCACCCAAAGTCTTCAGTTTGAGTCTCTGAACCAGTGCAGGTGGAGAGGGCTGTGAGTGTGATCAGTAATTACTGTGCATTAGGGCTGTTCGATACAACGATATATATCTGATGACGATATAAAAACATCCATCGTTTCATTTTACGCTATCGTTTGTTTCGTGGTGTCGCAAAATAAACTGTTTACAGCGATATTCATGGTTCTGATGGTCGCTGTAGTTATTATTAATTTCTTAAAGTTCTCTCTTTCTCTTATATTTAATATAACCACACTACGGACGGACAAGCGCCTGTTTTTATGCGTTGTCGTTAGCAACAACGACGGTAACAGCATCACGTGTCCGCTTGTTTATGTTCCACATAAACTTTTCACAATAAAGCTCAAGATCCTGTTGAGACTTTTCAAAATAAACTGAATCACGTGAAAGATGCAGATTATTTACGGATGAGAAGTAAAAAAAGAGCCGCCAGGTGTTAAAAAATAAACCATAGATTCAAACGTTAGAACAGGCTTTTCCCCGCAGCACGCCGTGTAATAAATACTCACAAAGAAACGGCGCCGTTACAACTTATGTCTAAAAATGCATCGTTTCATGCGTCAGTTAAAACACTCGACTCCAGCTACACAACGCACAGCTGAGAACACTTCAGGCAAGTCGAGCTGCCCGAGATTCACAGAATTTACAGAAAATGTTACATTTTTGTGATTTATATCGTTATCGGACGATAGATGTCTTATATCGGGACATGAGATTTTGGTCATATCACACAGCCCTACTGTGCTGACTGAATTGGGTTTGGAGGACTGAGCTGAATCAGGTTGATCCTGGTAGAAACATCTATAAATGACTTGTTAATAAAAACAGACTCTGTTGTAAACAGAGTGCAATGGCTACAATAACATGAGTTTAATTTGAAACACAGAGCTACATAACTGAAGATGTCAGCTCAGTTTATCTTCAGGGTCTCGTGAAACTTGGTGAGGATTTCATCAAAACAGTCTACACTGGCCACCTGCTCCACGACCTGACGGACTCCGCTCTCTAAAGCTTGATAATACCGCCTCAACTCCTCCACTTCCTGCTCTTTCTCTTCCTGAGCCTCCATCAGTTTCTTCTTGTACTCTGACTCAACAGCTTTAATTTCCTCCTCCATCTTCTTCTTGAAGAACTCTCTGAGCTCTGACTCTCTCTGTTTCAGCATCTCCTCCACCTGCATGTAGGTGTAGTTGGAGTAAAACTCTCCTCCGTTGTCAGCCACCATCTTATCCACCTTCTTCAGCAGATTCAGGACTTGGCGGCGGTCGTTGGCTTTGAGATTGTTGAAGATGTGGTATCTGTTTCCAGCCTTCTGCAGGACCTCCTGCAGCTCAGGTCCTGCCTCCTTCGTTATGAACTCGTCAAAGTCTGCTCCGACTTTGTCTCCGTGAGTGAAGAGGATGATGGTGTACTTCCAGGCACCCTCTCCAAAGATCTCCTCCACCTTCTTCACAGCGTCTCGTTCCTCTGCTGAGAAGGGTCCCACATTGATGACCAGCAGGATGGCGTGGGGCCCCGGGGCCGACATGTTGATGCATTTGGAGATCTCCCTCTTCACGGCGTCTTCAGGCAGGAAGGTGTCAAAGAGGCCGGGAGTGTCAACCACAGAGACCATCTTCTTAAACACCCTTTCCTGCTGCTTGGAGCATTCAGCAGTCACTGAAGAGGAGGAAACAGATCAGTTCATCTGAATTTAGATCAAATATGAACACAGCCTTCACCTGAACATGAAGGAGGATGCACAGATGCACAGAGGCTGGAATGTGAATATGGGTCTCATACTTGACACAGACTGAATGCTCAGTCTGGTGCTTTAATCGTTACAGAGGCTTCAGTCTAAGAAGTTTGGAAAGGAAAGAGTCTTCTTTAAGTTTCCTGAAAACGTTTCACCCGTGCTGTGAATATGTGTTTTATCCCAAAGTTTGATTCTGTTCATCAGGACGTTTTCAGTGGGAGAAACGTTTCGTCATCATCAGGTGACGTCTTCAGGCTGGGACTCATGGCCACTGATCAGTGGCCATGAGTCCCATTCACAGAGAGTTGGGGAATGGCTGCAATCACAGCATTGTAAGATGGTGACAGATGTACCCTTAGGCCCCTCCTCCATTCAGAGATGGTCTTTCCATTTTCATGTAAATGGCCTCCTTGACTCCGCCCTCAAACCAGCGTTCCTCCCTGTCCAGGATGTTACATCCTCACCAACTTTGTGTGTGTGTGTGTGTGTGAGAGAGAGATACCTGAGGAGTGACTGGAAGCAGCTCTGAAGGCCTCTCTTCCCAGTATGGTGTTTCCACTGGAACTCTTTCCTGCTCCAGTCTTCCCAACCAGAACCAGCCTGAAATCAGACACTGAATGCAGACACACAGAGGTCAAAGGTCAGATTACATGTGCAGGGCATTCCAGGCTGATCTACAAAGAACTTACAAAACTACAATATTATCTGATTTTTAAATATCACATGACCAAAGTGCTTTTCTGTTCTGACTGAGAGCTGACAGGTGCTGCTGTGAGGGAGCACGACCACCTTCACTTCAATATGAACAAACCTACAGAATCACGTGACCAGCTCACACTCATGCGGAGCTTCCATCTTTCACCTCATCTCCTGTCAGCTCTTCTTTATCATGTGTTAGTCAGAGGTCGTTCGTGTTTGTTTCCTGTTTCCTCCGGGACCTAAATGTTAAAGTTTACTGAAAGATGAAACATTAAAGTGAACAAACAGGAAGCAGAGACCACACCTGTTGGAGGCTCGTCCTTACTACTTCTCCTCGCCCTCCCTCCTGCTGCTCCTGCACACACACAGTAATCTATTACACGAAAGTGAAAGTAACTGAAATAAAAACTGCGTCACGCACGAAAAACCCGCTCAAACGGCGTTTTTCACCTAAAATTTAGCAGTAAACTGCGCGCGCGCACACACGTTTATATTAATGAAGTTTCCTCTTTGTTCAGACAGTTTGATGACTTTGAGAAGCGCAGACGGAGAACAATGATCGCATTAGCTTTAATAAACATAATTTCCACACACACTCACCGGGCTGTTCCTCTGAGGCCATCGCACCTACTCTCACGAATTCGTGCCTTTATCAGTTATTCTGAACTTCGCTCAGTAACGTAGTCACAATGCCGCCCTTTCCGGTATCACCTTCAAAATAAAATCACAGTGATAAGGAAACGGTGGAGTCTGGACCACAGGAAGGTTCGGTTTCATTCCTGGGGAAAGATCCAAGCTTCATGTTCTTATCTGTGAGTGATGACTGAACCCAGGAAGCATTGAATAATTACCTACTCGGGTACACTGTCAGACTAAACACCTTTACATCGCCTGGGTTCAGTAACACAACCTTTAAAGGGGTGGAGTCCTCTGCGCTGATGGAAACTAAAGCTGAGGTGAATCATGCTGTGTTAAAACTTTCCCGTGTTTAGAGATGGGGATTAAAATAAACTGATTCAGATATAAAAAATGTTTCCCAGTCAAAGACTAATGCCTCCGGGGCTTTTATTTTGAAGAGCCTTCCTGTTTCCGGTGTCAGCAGTTCGCGCCTCACGGTGAAGGGGACGGAACCACAAAGAAGAGGAAACGGCCTGAAAAGTTCAGATGTGTTTCCGGGTCTCTGTGCTGTTGTGTCTGCGTGTCGGTGGAAGCATCTTCACCTGGACAGGTCCAGCTGTCAGCGGGACCCCGGGGACCAGCAGGGCTCAGGTGTGATCGGCAGACAAACCCACAGACAGAAGCTGCAGATGTTCGTCTTCAGGTGTACATATCTGCGCATGTCCGAGGCTCCGCGAGGCCTCCAAGGACACGCGCGTTCGCAGTGAGGTACGTGTGGGTCACGTTACCAGATATTTCCGTTGAGTGTGTTCACCTCAGTAAAGTTGTTGAAAGAACACGAAGTGGAAGTAAACACTGTGGAGTAATAACCACGCTCACAGCCCACAGCAGTCTGCAGGTCCCACTTACGTCTGTGGAGATGTGCACGTGATCAGCTCGTTGATGTTACTGTAAAATAAGAGAACACCTGTGAAATACTGTGTGCACTGTGCGTGGATGTAATCATCTATACTGGTTACTGATGTGCCAGATGTTTACATAGATAACATCTGTTTGATGAGTGCATGTACACCAACTCCTCACACTCTAAGGTTGATGAGGGGTCATCAGTTTGTTAGCTGGATGTTAGGGGCCATTGGAAGGGTGGGGATGGCAGGTGTGTTACTATTATTATTGGTATTAATGATAGCACAATCAGTGTGTCAGTGGTTCTATAATTTGACTGTGGTATGAGTTGTATACATATTGCAGACGTTATATTAAGGAAACATTTACAGGTGGCATGTTTGATGTTTGTTTATCCTAGGGGTGGGCGGTATAAACGGTATACGGTAGAAATGATGTAAATTTGGCCAACGGTTGAGATTTTGACTATACAGCTGTACCATGATAGCGCATGTTGATGGTGTCATCAAGCTTCGTCTGTTTTGGTCGAAAGCATCGCAGTGGCTGCAAACAACATCATCTGCAAATTATGCCGGGCGACAGTCACAGCAAAGAGACGAAGCACTTTTGGAATATGGGGAAAGCCAAAAACGACGCTTCCTCCACTTCTGTACCATTGATTCATTACTGCTGAATTCTCTCGCAGCTGCTCTATTCCCATGTTGTTGCAGTATATTAATAACTAACCTCGTATTGTGGATGGATTATCTCAGCTGTTCTCCTGACTGAAGTTTGGTCCGTTTACAGCATCCTGCCATGCGATTACATTTGTCTCTAACCATCAGGAACCCCCACGTTAACTTTTATAAGTGGAAAAAAGTTAGCAGCCATCCTTCAACTTCACTGTGCTAATGTTATGCTAACCTAGCTGTTTTGCTAAAGTAGCACAACATTATCTACCACCTAGCCCAACTTTAGTAACCCTACAAACTAGGGCTGCTCAATTAATCGAATTTTAATCACGATTACGATCTGGGCTTTCAACGATCATTAAAAATGACTGAGCCGATTATTAGCCCCTCCCTCATTTATCCGCGACACCTTAAAGGCCGGTCCGTGAAAATATTGTCGGGCATAAACCGGTCCATGGCGCAAAAAAGGTTGGAGACCGCTGATTAAGAGGACCCGGGGGAAGCTCGGAAAGCTAAGCAGAAGTTATTTGGAGAGTGACTGCCGTTGGTTGAAAAGAGAGTTTAAAAAAAAAAACTTCAGTGGTGTTGCACACTATGTTATATTATTTTTTTAAAGTCATTGTTAACCCTTTAAAGCCGGTCAGAGCAGCACGCTCCGTTTTGCGTAACTATTTTTAAATCCCTGTAGAACCTGAACCGTGTAAGCTAGCGCAATAATTTGTTTTGCATATGAAACCGGAGGAGTTGTACTTACATCTGATGCCATCAGCTTGTCCTCGGTCACGGTTTCGTTCCACATATAGCTTTGCAAAAACTGCATAAAAAGCACTTGCAGGAACAAAAACATAATATTCCAGAAACACGCTTTGCCGATCCGATCAGCTGTTCCTAACACTTCCCACAGTGAAACAGACGTCAGCGCGAACTATCGCATGTCCGCCATTTCCTGGCCAAAACCGGAAGTGACGTCAATTTTGCGGAAAATGTAGTTTTTTACTTGTAGGCCTTAAAAGCCTACACTGGTCATGTTTGACTTTTCTGAATAGTTGCTGGGATGCTTAGAACTCAAATTCCACAGCTGGAAATAGTTTATTTTGATGCTGTTTTCTCTGCAAATTTGCATCATAGGATTGTTTTTTTGTTTTTCCTGCAGTATATAAAAATTGGTGTATCTCCAAAATAAAACTATGAAGACACTCAAAATAAATTTCCTGTTGTTGTAAACTATTTTTTGCAACTTTTTTGCATTTAAAGTTTTGAGGGATAAGCCTCTTAAATTTCTCTAAGTAGAAATATATGTAAAAAAACCAAAAACGATTTTCAATTTTTTTGTAGTTTATTGCACTTTTTTGCAATTAATGTAATTACTATGGACTTAATGGAGACATATTATTAAAATATGGGCTATAACGGTTGTATAGCAACTTGAAATGCTCCACAAATAGCACTACAACATGTAAAAAAATAATATAAGCTAGCTGACTTATAGTAGGTCTTAAAGCATAGGTGTAAGAATGAATCTTTTCTTATGGACTCAAAGAAGTTTTGCTGAAAAACTGAATATGGAACAAGCAAAGCTTAATACTAAACAACATATATATTAGCTGTATAATACCAGTAGGCCAGCTCTGATAGTAATTTGGTATGGCTTCGCGGGCCAAATGTAAGTAGGCTGCGGGCCAGAGTTTGATTAAATATATTTCAATAAATATTAACGTTAGCCCGCGACTTTGTTCCAGTTTTGAATTTTGGCCCACTGTGTATTTGAGTTTGACACCCCTGTCTTAAAGGGTTAAATAAATATCGTCAAATAATCGAGATCTCAATTTCAGTGAAAATAATCATGATTATCATTTTTGCCATAATCGAGCAGCCCTACTAGTTTTCTGTCTTCATTCATGTTGGAAGTGACAGCAAAGCTGTACGTTTTATTTTTTCAGAAATCTCTCAGTCAGAACATGCTATATCATGCTTACTGTAGGTAACTAGTGAAACTAGTGAGCTAACTTCCTGCTAACTTCTAACTCTGTTAAATGTAATAAATTCTGTTTTCATGGATGCCTGGATGTTAAACTTCATAGTTACACCTGGTAAAGCAGCAACACTGATCATTTTATTAAAGATTAAAGAATTTAGACAGTTTTTAACTCTCAGTGATGCTGCAGTGATCATTTGACTTTGGGACCTGAAGAGGAGAGAGTTTAGGACTCAGATTACTTCATGAGGCTCTTGACTACGTTAGCCGTAATGCTCCTACAAACCATCAAGCGCTGCGGCTTTATAGGTTTCTAAAGTCGTACGAAAACATTTTTGACAGATTTTTGAACACTGTGTACCACATAAAATTGGTTAGAGGTCAGTAAACACAACCAGAACCCATAGATAAGGCACACTGTCGATTTTTGAGAAAATTAAAGGATTTTATGTGTGCTTTATAGTGTGTAAAATACGTTATACAGAAGAAAAGAATATATCGCGATATATATCTTTACCGCACATGCTTCAAATTATACCGTGATATGGATCTTAGGCCATATCGCCCAGCCCTATTTTATCCCACATTAGTGTTCCTGTAACTCTGTTTTGCTGCTCTGCTCTGACATATGTGTTGACTCATGTGCCTACTCAGTTTGGTTGCAATAATCAGTGGTCATTAGGAGTTCTGCGCTGTGTTAGCAAGTCTGGATAGCTCCTCAGCCAGTAGGTGTGCATCATGTCAGGTCCTGGTTCTGTCCAGAGACTCGATGTTGGAGGCCTGCCTCGGTGATGCTCTGATGATGAGTTCTGGCTGTGCTCTGTTTTTAGGTCTATAAGGCACTTGATGCTGGGGTTGTATGAGAATGCGTGCTCCCAGATGTGCTCCTAGTATTCCTCATTCTGTATTCTTGTCATGTAGCTGAGAGTACAGTATGGATGGATCTGTGGAGAACAGGCCATTAGTTCGTTTCTCTCCAGCCTGTCAGAGCTGTGAGCCTTTGTTAACCAGTTTCTAGAGCTTCGGTGATGGACGTTCTGCTGTACCTCAGTTTACAGAGCTCTGTGCTGCTTTGGCTCCTAGCCTTCTTCTCCATGAGGGAAGGCTTCACTCTACCTGCACTGCTTTGTGATAAAGTGCTCATCTGTAGGAGTAAAACAGCTCCTGTATGTGTGATTGGATACATGAGGCTTGTAGTAAAAAGTGAAGTACCAGTATATTTCACCAATACTTCAGTTCCACTGCCCTTTTCTAGCATCTGCTGGTCCCAGTGTGTTGTCACCTCTGGGTCTCCAGCTTTGAGCTCTTGTAGCCTCTACCCTGTTTCTCATCAGGATGTCCAGCTTCCCAAACACGTGACTTGGACCTTGTTAAGCTGCTGTTTGAGTATTGTGCTATTGTATATTTGTACTTTTATCAAAGCCTCTTTAATTATTATCTGTACTCTGTGGT